TTCAATGTACATTCTATATCCAATGTTAACAAAACTTTCGAAATTATAAGTTCCATGCATCGCATGGACCAAAACTAGTTAAAGTTAAAAGATTCGGGGATTGATAATATAAGTATTGAAGGAATCACAGAAATCAAAGATGGATCAATCAGAAAAAATAGCCACAAAACACTAGCTAGCCGCAATAGAGGTGTTTGGCCATGATGTAATCCAGACAGAATCCCATTCATTATTTAATGACTTTTTTCAATCTCATTCAACCTCAAACAATTCACATTATAAATATCATAGCATAATCCGTCTCATAAAGTGTGATAAATTTATTTTCATTCAAGAGAACATATTATTGAAAATCAATAACACAATTCATAAATCTCTTGATTCGACCAAAAGATCAAAACACAAAGTATCCATTATCAAACACTAAAAATGTTAAACTTCACTAATGAACCTTTCGAAGAGACAACTGTAGTTCTAGTTGTTTCAGAACAAGTTCATTCTTGGTGCTCCATGCAAAGGGGAAAAAAATTCAGAGATGTTGGAAAGTACAAGTTACATAGCCGAAAATGTTTTTAGGTGATTTACCGATTGGATGGTTTGAATCTACTAAGGTTTATATGTGTATAGACCAATTGTAAGTTATATTTTATAGTTTATCTTTTTTGCAATGTTTGCCAAACGGTTTTTTATCCATGTGCAGAGTTTTCAAGGGATTTTCACTCGTTACAAAATTTAGCGTTCTTTATTTTTATGCTTTTGATCTATATTGCATGATTGAAACTTAGCCCTTGTTTGGACCCATTAAAATCAAAATTTGAGAAAAATGTATATTTTAAAATAGTGATTTTTTTAAGAATGTGGGGTTACAAAGAAGAAAAAAAAATTGAATTTACGGATATATAGTTTTATTGGAAAATGTACGGTTGAAAAAAGAGAGAAATATATATTAAAATTTTAATGGAACCCAAATAGGGGCCTAGGATTTAATTTAACATTAAATTTAATCATCTAAAAATAATAAATAAGTGACTTATTGTTTTTTATTGATTAATTATTTTAATTCTGATTATACACTTGATCTAAACATAGTGGAGTTGGTTAGATAGTAAAGTATCATCTTACAAAAAGGAAAAAAAAAATCCAAATATTGACATGAGAAAAGTAAAAGTCAATAGTAAAAAGTTTGGTCTGATTTTTACCCAAAAGTGTGGACAATGCCTCGTAAAAGTTTCGACATTATCTTAGGAAGAGGTCATTGTTTTCAGGAACTTTGACATTAAAATCGAACCTATGATCACAGCCGTCAATTCTCCGTCTCTAGACGTCTAGACGCACGGACCTCTCTAGTCGATGTTTTTTGTATAATTTGAAGTAGACCCCACAATTATTTGGAGTTTCTAATCACTACACACGTGGACGGTCCACATTCTAAGATCTGCGTTGTGAAACTCAACGGAAAAAATTGCACACTTGGTCTCTAGCTCATTGTATCAGCAGTAAGTCAGTCTCTAATATTTGAAAAGAGTAAACCAGTCCTACACCTTACAGAAACTTATAAATTTACTTCGTGTTGAACGTTGACCATACAACTTCAATTTATTTCACTTCGACCATCCATTTACATTTTTATACTAGTTTGAAATCATAAACAAAACTAATTTCCAATCTCACGTAGCAACTAAATGTGTGATCAAACACTTTAGAGCCTGTCTGGAGCTAATTAAAAGTGAATTAATAGCCCTTACACAAGGAATGTGGGCCCTTGTATGTGAGATAATTTGTCAACAAAGTCAATTGCAACGGTCACAAAACCAATTACATTTGGAAGGAAAAGCTTTACCAGATAGGACCTTAATTTATGCTAAAAATAAAAAATCTAGAGGGAGTAAATTAAGGTCGTAGGCCTTTTTAATATTTTGCCAAATTAATTGTTGATTTAACATCAAACAGGCTCTAAATAACACATTTCGTCAACCAAGCGGGAATGACTTGGGCCATGGTTACAAACAAAACAATCAAACGAGAACAAAAATATACAAGTTGGCTACTAAATTGAAACAAATCAATATGGAATGACTAACATGAAATGCACATACATGTAAGTTGTTTGACCAACAATAATTTTTTTTTCTTACAGTTATTTGCAGTATTCTAAAGAGCGTAAAACATTGTTAGGCATGGAGGCAAAATTTCAAGTTTTACGAGTTTAAATGTGCCTAGACAAAGTCTAGACGTTAAAAAAAAAAGTTTTATTTTTATTTTTAATATTATTTTAAATTTTTAATCATTCTAAAAATTATTTAATAATTAAAATAATACATACCAAACATCAAAAATTGTAAAATACTCTATTTTTCAAAGTTTCAATTTTCAATTAAACAAGTCATACTTAATATATTTATAGAAACTTTATTTTGTAGTTTTTGACTAAATAATGAGTCTCAAAATTATAATTATATAATGTAGATAACACTGTAATTTAAATGTAATTTAACTCTTTATTGGATAGAATCATTTTTGACTTTTATACGTACAAGTTCTTTTAAAAACTAGAAAATAATGTGAAATAAAAGGTCATTTAAAAATTTAATAAATAAAAGTCAAATAAAAGAACTTTAAAAAAAGGAAGAAAAAAAAATTAATAAAGAGCACTTAGGGAAAGACGAATTAGATGAAGGAAAAAATCCAATCGTTCATGAATTAAAAAAAAAAAAAGGCCTAAACACTGAACGAGGCATTTATTTTTTCTTATAACTAGTTGCAAAATCAGTTGTACAAATTTTCATTAAATTATCACATGTCTTCGCATGTTTAATATTTGATCATTAGCATTGTTTCTGTTACTCATATAAATAATCTTAATACAAGGTTCCACGTGGCAAGCTGACGAGTCCAAGGGTGGATCTTGTGCATACTGAACCTAGTCAACGAAAACATTGGCTCGCCTCGTCACTAGAAAAATATCCAATGAAATGATGACAAGACAACGCCCTGCTAGCGCCGACTCCACATCTACACAGTCAGATCCTGTCAGGGAAAAAAATAGGGAAATCTAAGCATTAATGTCTTGACTAATTAATTGACTCCAACAAGGACATTTGGATCCTTTACCATCGGAAGGATCCCCTTCACCCATGGGGAGATATAAAAAGTATGGACTCCAGATTATGGGAGACAATGCAAGTTTACATATAAAAAAAAAAAAGCAAAACTCGATTCTCTCTCGAATACACTCCACGATCGACCCCCGTTTTATGCGAAAAGCAATTACAGCAATAGCATAAAAAAGACTATGGATCATTTTCCTTCATGGATTGATCAATATAAGTAGTTGCTAGGCTCGAGTATATTGCGATTCGACTTACCAATATGCGAATCTCTTATTTTCTGTTGACCATGAGTTAGAACCATTTTTTGGGATCAACAGTTTCTCAACTGGAATTTTGGTTCAAATTTAAAGTGAGACTTAATTCTACGAGAGTCACATGAGAATTTAGTAAAAATTGAATAAGTTTCTTCCATGAAGCTCGACCATGCAATTATATTTAAAAGTTAGTAAGAGCTTCAAGTTTTAAATATTAAAGATAAATTATACTGAAACAATAGGTTAGGGACCAATCTTGCAATTTCTCCAAACTCAACCGACAAGGATCTTATCACGAAGTTAGTGTTCTGATTTTTTTTCAATCTGAAATTAATGTAGTAATCTACTTTTAATTTAATCCTTCCTCTGCCACTTGCATAATGCTCCCAAATCTCACACTTACTTCAGTTCAGCTTCGCAGTCTCTCTCTACACTCTCTTCTCTCTCCCGTGGAAAAATGGGCTCTGTTTCGTTAAAAATAGGAGATGGAACAGCAAGATTCAAGAGGGCATCAGTATGTTCTTCAGCGGTTAATCTGCTGATGCTTTTTTCTGTAATAATCACCAATATTTTTGCTTTTTATGCATTCACATACTCGCCAAAGGAACTTCACCACCATCACAATCCCAAAGATATATCTTTAATCTCAGAGAAAGTTTCCATAATCCTACGAGAGATTGAATCTTCAAAGAAAAAGTTAGCCCAGATGGAGAAAGATCTCTTAGGCTTCGATACCATTGATTTATCGAAACCCAATATTCCAAATGAGTTGAAAATTTTCTTGGATCACCATGAGCTACCATTGGGGAAAGATTCAAGAACTGGGATCACTGAAATGGTGGCATCTGTGGGCCATTCCTGTGGGAAATCTGAGGATTTGTTGTCTCAGTACATGAATTACAAAGTCAATGGACTTTGCCCTGATGATTGGAGCCTAGGGCAAAAGCTGATCCTGCGTGGATGCGAGCCTTTACCAAGAAGGAGGTGCTTCGCAAAGACTATTCCAAAGGTAGGTTTGCAGTCTTTTCCTCCTTCTCTATGGAAAAATGTAAGTGAAAAGATTTATAGTTGGAGTGGTATTAAATGCAAGAATTTGTCTTGTTTAAATAGTAAGAAATTGAATAGAGATTGTGCTGGTTGTTTTGATATAGTTAATGGTTATGAAACTCAAAGATATGTTAAGACTAGAGGCAAGAATGATTTCCTTATTGATGATGTTTTGGCAATGGGAAGTGGTGGGATTAGGGTTGGTTTTGATATTGGGGGTGGGTCGGGAACTTTTGCTGCAAGAATGGCTGAGAGAAATGTGACTGTGGTGACTGGCACTTTGAATATTGATGCACCTTTTAATGAATTCATTGCAGCAAGAGGGATTTTCCCTTTGTATTTGAGTTTGGATCACAGGTTCCCATTTTATGATAACGTGTTCGATTTAGTTCACGCGGGGAATGGACTGGATGTCGGGGCTCGGCCTGAGAAATTGGAGTTCTTGATGTTTGATATCGACCGGATCCTAAGGGCTGGTGGATTGTTTTGGTTAGACAACTTTTATTGTTCCAATGAGGATAAGAAAAAGGATCTCACTCGGTTGATCGAAAGATTCGGCTATAAAAAACTCAAATGGATTGTGGGAGAGAAAATAAATGGTTCTGGGAAATCTGAGGTTTATTTGTCTGCTGTTCTACAGAAACCTGTAAGAGTTCGATTATAATGATTTTCTCATGAGAAATTTCCAGGAGCTGAGGATAATGTTGCAACATTAGTTCTGTTGTCACACACAAAAGAATTCTTCTCAGTTCATTACTTGCCATTGACAAGTCGGCGATTCCTTTCTACTGCTGAATAAAGTAAGGGGCATCGTTTGTCTCGAAACCAGAAACAGCACCATAGGTTGATAATGTTCCGCTCTTGATCTGAAATTTTTCCTCAGTAAAGTTAGATATATATTTTTCTCTGTTTTATTATGTTCACATATTTAGATAACAAACAATTGAACAAGGATAAGATCATTTTGGCTTCTGTGATTTATTAACTGCATATTTGAATTTGTACTGTTAGAATTAGCTAATTATTGGCAAATCTTGATTTCAAACTGGAAATTTCCATGTTCAAATATGATTGCTGTAAGCGTTTTTGTATTAGTAGCATGATAGACATCATTTGTTTTAGAATGGACTTCTGCAGTTGTTATTGCCTTTCTTAGTGCGGGGATTAACTAGAATTTATTTTCTCGTTGTTTGACACAATTTTCTGACATTGAGCGTGTTTGTGTGCATATGATCCTGCAAATAGACAAGCTCAGAGGATGTGCTGGATCTGATGCTCAAGTCAGAACCCGAAAGTATTATGATAATATGAGAATCCTCTAAAAAAAGTTATGTAGTATGGAGTTTATTTATCCTCTCTGTTTAAGGCTGTTCGAAAAATATGTGCTGTTAGCTGGTGGTTAATTGACCACATTCTCCCACTTTTTTTATATTTAGTGAGTCAGGTTTTTGAGCTAGATAATGAGCAATCGACACTAGGAGTGGGTTGTAAGAGCCAGAAGGATAATGATAATATAAATATAACAAGTAATAAAGTTAAAGGAGTTATGTAGTATGAAGTTCTATTAACCTGTGCTTTGAGCCGTGGTTCACATTATCCTGCTTTTACCATGTTTATTTAGTGGGGGTTCTTGAGCTAGAAAATGGACAATCAACACTAGGAGTGGATTGTTTTAGAAGGGAGTGGGTGGTAAGTCCTCAACAGTAGTACGAGACACTTGATTTGAAAATGGATTTTGTTTTTTTTGCAATACAGAGTTGATTTATTCTACATCTGAGATGACGTTTTCTTCTCTGTACTGTGGCACTGCTTTAATATATTACAATATGGGACATCAACTAGGAAGGAAAAAATGAACATGGGTGAGGAAGACCATTTCGGTGTCTTTGTAAGATCATATTCAAGATCCTACTTGACGCAAGATTATAATAGCATATAATTTAGTTTCCTATTTTAAAGTTTATTTTAGGAAAGATAATTTTTGTTTGATTTTATCTACTTCCATTAGAGTTAGTTTAAACCTTGTATAAAAGGGAGGAGAATCGCTTCTCGAATATCCGATCCAAGTGTGTATAAGTTGTGACCTCATCCGGATTTACCCGGGTGGCGAACCAAGGGGGAAGGCTGTCACTCCTCAAGATTAGTTAGGCGAAACTCGGATACCGGAGTCATTGAAAAAAAAAATTGATATTCTCCCCCAATTTCTCTCTTCCTCTCCCCCTCTTCTTGTATCTTTTCCCCCTCCTTTCTCTTCTTCGCTTCCCTTTCCCCGTCTCTTATAAATCTATTCTTGCATCCTACGTCACTGCTTCTTTCGAAGAGTCTCTAACTTTTACTTGAAAAATATACTTAATGCACTTTTTTAAGCTTAACTATACATGCTCATCTTTGTATAATTGAAATTTCGTTTTCATCATAGCTTGGGAATTCTAATGCTCGTTGATTTGTTGTTGCACTCCTTTATCAAAATCATGTTGCATTAAGCTTTCTTGGTTCGATTCCTAGGTCTTCTATTAGTTTTCTTGATTGTTTCATTCAATGTTGTCTTACGTATAGTCAAGAAACATTGAGTCGGTGCATCTTATACTAATTAATTCATGTCAAATAGTCATTGTTAGATATTGTCTCATTTACGATGATCACTATTAGCTATTAGAAAGCATTTATTCGTTGTTCATTGTTTTGAATAATTTAAATTTTATTTCTATTCTTTTTAAAGCTATACTGTTATTGGTGCACAAAAAGATTCTGAATATATTTAGGTTACTTTTTCCTTTTTCCCTGTGAAACCAAGATAAATTTGTTATTGGTGAATGTTACAGGGTTCCCTTAAGTCCACGTTTTTCATTTATGACTCCTGCGATTCCTTAAACCATGGGCGTATGGCCTGTAATTGATGCACTTTGAATCATGTTTATAAAACTAGAAAGGCCTTCTCTAAACATCAAATATCTGATTTAACCTTATTAAAAATGGTTTACACGAGGTTATTTTGTGTTTCCTTATCCCTTGCCTGTCCCTAGTGCCCCCATTCCCTCCTAAACTCAGGAGCTTAGGAGTTTCCTACTCTCGTTTTGCTACTTCGGAAACTCCTGGGCAAAGGGAAGATGAATAGAGGCAAGGGGGATGATGGAGACGAAGGGGGAAACTGAAACGTATGGGGAGATACTTGGAGAGGGAGAGGGAGTTGCACAGGTGTATGGGCGGAGGATAAAGATAACTAACTTGCAAAGTAGATGAGGATATTTCTCCAAATTCAACTAAAGGACCATACTACATGTTAAGCGGAAGATGGATCACCAAGGCGTTTTTCCCGGGCCGCCCAATTTTACCAATCGATCAACATCTTAAAAGAAAACAACCCAAATCTTCTCAACTATTTCCACACTTTGGTTTGTTTGTATCACCCACGAAGGACACACAAAGGGAAGGTGTAATGGCGGTCAAAGAGTAGCCACTAAGGCAAAGAGGAAGAACAAAAATGGTAGAAGCTATTCACACAGAGAAGTAGCCGGTTTTGGTCGAATGAAAGCCAAGAATCACACAACACGTTAACCAAGTAATGAGGCAGCATTTATATAAGGCACACACATTAGGTATATAGTGATGGGCTAAGCCCAACAACCGATAAGTGGATCAATATACATGGGCCGGCACTTATTAGTCATCCAAAAGGCGAGACAACTGGCCATGAGCAGCTCTAATTAATTAGGTTACTTCCAATGACCCAAATAATTTTAGGGTCGGGTCGTTCCATTAGGTGTCGACTTGTTCAGTCATTCAATCGATGCCGACTGAATGAGTTTTACATATTTAACATCATTGATGGGGAGGTTGTTTGGCAACAATTTGCCCAACAAACCTCCACCTTGGTGTTAAAGGACTAGCAAAGAAAATATTATCACCCATTAGTTAATAATTCAAAAAAGGAGAATCGGTAAAATTGGAAATTATTTACCTCCACCAATACTTAGAAGATCTTTGCAACTTCTAAATTTCACCACGACAGCACTTTAGTGCCTATATTTGAGGGATTATATTGTGTGTGGATTTTTTTAGGTCTTACCACTTCTTAATTCTTATGACACAATATTTCTAATGAAATGTAGTCTAACATCAATGTGTTTGGTGCATTTGTGAAAAACATGATTTTTGTATAAATGTATAAAACATTGATTATCAGAATATACTACCACATAGTTATTTAAAACACAAACTTCATAAAGCATGCATCTAAGCCACAAAGTCTCTTTAATTGCTTAAGTAGCGGTGATGTATTTAAATTCTGTCCATGACAATACAACAATGTGTTGTAACTGTGATTTCTATCTAATACAAGAGTTAGATAAAATAAGCACATAAGACAAAATAAATTTTCTATTATCCCTATTCCTGCATAGTCCGCATCTATAAAACCTTTCAACTTCACACTTTCTTTATTAACATCAAACCATAGACCTACATCACTTGTCCTCTTTAAATACCTTAACATCCATTTTAAGACTTCCCAATGCTCGGGACTCGGATTAGACATGTATCTACTAAGAGTACTAATAGCAAAAATTACATCTGGTCTAGTGCAAACCATCAAATACATAATAGATCTAATCACATTAGAGTATGAAATCCTACTCTTTTTCATTTCAAGGAGCTTGGTATTTAGTTAATACAAAATGATTAGCTAAAGGTAATGTAATAGGTTTGTAATCATGCATGCCAATTTTTTTCAACATCTTTGAAACATAAAAGGACTGATGCAAAAACAAAGTAGAATTTGACATATCTCTTTCAATTTCCATACCTAGGATTCTTTTAACTTTACCTAGATATTTCATATCAAATTCACCATTCAACTTTATTTTTATCTTACTTATCCACTTAGGTGATGAACCAACTAATAGCATATCATCCACATATAACAATAAAAACACAATCATTATTAGCATCATCTTGTTAGAAATATAGGCAATGATCAAACTTACTCCTTGAAACCCTATGATGAGTGCAAAAGAATCAAATCTTTTATACCGTTATCTAGGTGATTGCTTTAAACCATATAAAGATCTTTTCAATAAACACACATGATCATGTTTTAATTTGTCTTTAAAAATTTTTGTTTGATTCATAAAAATTTGCTCATTAAGTTCACTATGTAAACAAACAGTTTTATGTCAAGCTGTTCAAGTTTCGAGTCAAAATGTGCAACCAATGCAAGCATGGCAATATAGTAGTGCACTTAACAACTAGTGAAAAATCACGTTATAATCAACCCCTTATTCTGTGTGTACCCTTTGACCACTAACATAGCCTTCAATTTTAAGGGTTCAGATGCACTAGTACCCTGCTTAACCTTAAAGATCTACTTACAATCAACTGTAAATTTATTCTTAGGTCTAGGTAATAGTTTCTAAGTTTTTTTTACCTAAGGAACCCATCTCATCTTTCATTATCTTAAACTACTCTTCAGATTATTCACTCTTCATCAAAGGTTTTTGGTTCTCTATCAGCTAGCTCCTAATAGCAAGCATGAGCAAAAGCTAACTCAAACTCATATTCAAATTTTCTAGGTGCTTTCGACTGTCTTCTTACACTCTCTCTATCACTAGCTAAGTTATAATCTGCTAAGGGATTCTCTTCCTCAGGATACTCTTTTATCTCTACTTC